TTCTCTTGACAAAACTCTATTAGCCTTTGTCCTGCTTCGTTCTGAACTCCAAGGCCATACTTCCCTGTTGTTCCTTTTATCTCCTGGCTCCCTACTTTAGCATTCCAGTCCCCTAGAATGAGAAGAACATCTTTCTTTGGTGTCAGTTCTAGAAGGTGTTGTAAGTCTTCATGGAATTGCTCCATTTCAGCCTCTTCAGCATTGGTGCATAAACTTGGATTACTGTCATGTTGAAAGGTCTGCCTTGGATTTGTATTGAAATCATTTTTCAAATTGAATCCCAGGACAGCTTTTCCCCCTCTTTTGTTGACTATGAGGGCTACTCCATTTCTTCTATGGGATTCTTACCACAATAGTAGATATGATATCCGTCTGAATTGAATTTGCCAGTTCCCGTCCATTTTAGTTCACTGATGCCCAGGATGTCAATGTTTATTCTTGCCATCTCCTGTTTGACCACATCCAGCTTATCAAGGTTCATAGATCTTACATTTCAGGTTCTTATGCAGTATTTTTCTTTACAACATCAGACTTCCCTTTCACTTCCAGGTGCATCCACAGCTGAGCGTCCTTTTGGCTTTGGCCCAACCACTTCATTAGCTCTGGAGGTACTTGTCCTCCGCTCTTCCTCAGTAGCATGTTGGACGCCTTCCGACCTGAGGGGCTCATCTTCCAGTGTCATATCTTTTATCCTTTTATTTCTGTTCATGGGGTTTTCTTGGCAAAGATACTGGAGTGGCTTGCCAATTCCTGCTCCAGGTGGGTCACATTTAGTCTGAACTCTCCACTATGACCTGTTCATCTTGGTTGTCCCTGCACGGCATAGCCCATAGCTTCTCTGAATTACTCAAGCCCCTTCGCCACAACAAGGCAGCAGTCCTTGAAGGGGATTGTTTTATTTCTGTTCATGGGGTTTTCTTGGCAAAGATACTGGAGTGGCTTGCCAATTCCTGCTCCAGGTGGGTCACATTTAGTCTGAACTCTCCACTATGACCTGTTCATCTTGGTTGTCCCTGCACGGCATAGCCCATAGCTTCTCTGAATTACTCAAGCCCCTTCGCCACAACAAGGCAGCAGTCCTTGAAGGGGATTGACTAGTAAGGCCACAACAAGGCAGCAATCCTTGAAGGGGATTAACTAGTAAGCTAACACTTGCCAAATCCTCATTTTCCCAAACATTCACAAACCTCAGGGTATCTCTGAACATGAATAATATATTCTCCTTTCCCCCTACCCATTGGTTTTGTTTTGTTACTATTTCTATTGTCACTTACGACTTGAGTTCATTTCAGGAGAATGTGATTATTTTCTATTAGGGGATTTCAGTGGGTGCACTAAAATGGCTTTCTCTCAAACGATATTCACTGCCTTGCCTTATTCACTTCCGTGAGAACCTAAGGCTCTGTTCTCATTTTAGGATGATTTTCTCTTATGAGTATAGGGTAGATTTGCACTGTTTGTGTAGGAAAATGAACAGAGAGAACTAATTACTGGTTGAAGTCCTATTGCTTTTTATGCACATGGAAAGAAATGATATAACATTTACAGTGGTGCCTCGCTTAACAACATTAATTCGTTCCAGCGAAATCGCTGTAGAGCGAAAACGTCATAAAGTGAAAATAAAAAACCCATCGAAACGCATTAAAACCCGGTTAATGTGCTCCAATGGGCTAAAAACTCACCCTCCAACGAAGACCCTCCATACGGCGGCCATTTTTGGTGCCTGTATAGCGAGGAATCCGTCCCTAAGCACAGCGGGGAGCTATTTTGAGCACCCGAAGGCCATTTTGAAAACCCGACGGTCAGCTGTTTTGATCGTCGTAATGTGAAGAATCAGTTCCTGAAACAGGGAACCAATCTTCATAAAGCGAAAAACCCATTTAAGACATTGTTTTGCAATCGCAAAAACCTCGTCGTGAAGCAGATTCTTCGTAATGCGGGGTAATCGTTAAGTGGGGCATGACTGTATTCTCTTCTAGCAGGCAATTAATAAGCCCCTGCTGGGATTTTTGGACATGAACCAAACCAATGGGTGTGTATGTCCCAAGAATCACAGCAGCGACTTGTTACTTGCTAACTAGAAGCAAGCAGTATTAGTGCTCCTTTCTTTCTGCTTGCATAACAAAACAGCAGGATTGCAGCATTTGTGTATCGAACTGCACTTAAGGAGAGGCAGAATATCTGAGAAAACTGGGGGTTTAGATGGACAGGTAGTTGACTGTTTGCATTTGTATGACTACAAAACCAAACTGAGTGGAACAGAAGAGGTAACTGACAAGTAAGTTGTGTATGATGCGGTAAAGTGTTACAAACAGACATTCTGTGCAGACATTCTGCAGTAGCAATAATGTACCAGGTAAAAAAAAGTTTTTTTAAAATGAAGTGCAGACATAGATTAAATTGAGCAAAAAGAAAAATGAACTGCAATGGACAGCTGTTCATTGTTACTTGCCAAGTTCATTCAGCTTAATCTCTCTTCCTTGGTCTCCTGTACTAGGAAGATAAGTATGGAGATAAGGAAAACTGGCTCAGCAGCAGTGGAGTTAGCCACTATAAACTTATAATTTTCAACACCTGGGAAAACAACCTTTGTTACTCGAATGAATGTTCCCATGTTGCTACTACAATTGTACAACAGTACATACTTCTCTAGTGCTGGTTGCCTGACTTTGTCCATTAATTTTTTCCTTTAAGATTACAGTTGCGTGATACTATCAGGGAAAGAAACTTCTTTCATCAAGAAGAGAAGGGCCAAAAAGAGGAGGAGGGGGGAAGAATGGAGAAAAGGTGGACAACTTTTAAACATTAATATAGTTTAGAACTGCATAATTCTTAAAGGCTATATCCTAATGAAGTGCAGTAGATAGTGATGACATACAGTATATTTTCTCGCTAAGCCATCATATATTCTTTGTCTTTACATACTCAAAGATAATTGCTTGGTCCCCTGAGCCTCAGTTGCTGTGGATCATTATTCATTTCTACACAAACACATGAATTTTGATACAATTTTTGTTATAAACCAAAATGATATCTTAATGAGAACCTACATAGCTATAGCACTTTACATTTTATTTAATTTGTTTTAGAATATATATTCCAGCAAACAAGAGTGTGAAGCAGTCATGTGCCTTTTTGCTTATTTGCTCATCATACTGTGTTTCTATTAGCCCTAATAATTCATCTTTAATATTTTATCTTCAGCTTAAGAAAGAAAACACCATATAGAAAAATGGCCAACGTTTTCTCTAAGCTGTGTGGGTGCTCAGCCACGCAGTGCTGCATCAGTACTGCGCACCTGCAGCCAGTGTTGCTCTCCATTTGGTTCCAGTTGCAGCCAGAACCTGCACGCACGTGGCATGGTCTCTGCCCAGCACTGGCAGAAAATTGGAGGGAACATTGAACATGGCTATTTTTCCTCTGTGCTAGCAGTGAGACCTCACCTTCCTTCTTGTCCTAAGTGGACATTCTATAAAGTGGATGAATCCAGAATGCCACATAGTCTGCACTAAGTTATCTGTCAATATTAATGTAATGAAGGTGGAACTGGCTTCTGTTCCACCATAATGGGTGGCAAAAAGGAAGTAAAATTTGTAACTTGTTTGACAAATACTTCTGATACCTAAATCTTAATTTCTACACTTCAAACTGCATAGAGAAAGATGATGAATAGCTATGTATTCGCCCTGAAAAAGAAGCAGCAGTCACTAGGAAGATAAGTATTTTTGTAAACCATGTTACACCACAACTTTACATAAGGCCAATTTGATGCCAAACTAACTCTGATTCACTTTCTCAACCAAGATGAGTGTGCTGGTTATCTTTGTTGTCAAGAGACTCTTTTCAGAAGAACAGCAACTTTGTTTTTAAAAGCTAGCATAAATTTCTCTGTTTTTATTTGTTAGACCCTGCTGACAAGGCTTCACAATAGAAATGCAATTCCTGTCCATAATGATCTAGATGATGAGGGTGATTAGTTGCCAGAGACTTGAGGGCTGTGCATGCCTATCTCTGGAAGTTAGAGGACCTAATGTGCTCCTGTGATCCCTATCCCAAATTGCTTTACTTAGTGTGTGTTTTTCTTTAATTCTGCACACATACTTATACAATTCTATTTTCAAGAGCAAAATGTTGAAAGTTACACTATATAATGCCATTTACCGTATACATTGGGAGTTCAAAAGATGCTTCTGAAACCTCAAGAATTTTCACCCAGTACTTATTGTTTCAGCTGTTACATTTATTTAGATTTTTACTATCTAATCATGATATCTTGATTTATTTCCCCCTATGGAAGGTACAGTGAAAGAAGTATTTCAAGCATTTAATTCATGCTTGAAATTTCCACCACCACCCCCCTTTTCCATTACAAGGAGGAAGGAATGCTCTTCAGGTGCACTGTAGTTTCCTGATCCAAAACCACCAGATGGCATAATGCACTTTTATGCAATCTTGAGCAACCCTAATTTGCCCAATCTAGCCTGCTCCAGTTTGCACCCTTAGTTCCAGTTAATTCCACACACAGTTCCCATTAAATTAAGACAAATTTTCTATGTTATATTGAATATTGCAGACTGCACAGAGATTTTATTGGCTGAAATCATCTTACACAGTTCCATGTACACAATAGTGATGATATAATCAGCAGTGGGAGACTGCCACTTTTAAAAGCCTTCCTTTGGTGATTTTGGGGTGCATGTGACTTGGTCACATTCACCAAATTGCCTTTAATCAGTGTTGATTTGTGCTATACAATAGGACTAAGCCACTTTCTCCTTTTTCTTCTCTGTCACACTGGGATTGCATACTAGAGGATCTGGTTTTATACAGTTTTAACAATCAAATATTTGCTGATCAAGTCTTAAAGTGCTATAATGTAAACAGTAAACTCAGTGTCACGGATAAGGAGACACTGCCTTTAATTTTTTTAAAACTTCATGTTTTTCTTCTAGGTATGAGCAAGATAGTGGTCATGACAGTGGAAGTGAAGACATCTTCATCGAGTCCTTGCAGCCTTTCACACTAGTAACCTTGGGTATGAAGAAATTTTTTATTCCTAAGGCATCTCCTGTTTCAGCTACTCTAAAAGATTCTGGGAATAGAATTCTTCCCATGCCATCATGCATTGGTATCTGCCTTGATTGTGATAAAGGCAAAGTAGGATTCTATGATGCAGACCGAATGAAGTGTCTTTATGAGCGTCAGGTGGACTGCTCTGGTAAAATGTATCCAGCTTTTGCATTGATGGGGAGTTCAGGAATTCATCTGGAAGAAACAATTGCGGCAAAATATTTGCAATACCAAGATGACGACGTGTAATGCCCAAGGATCCATCTTTTGCATTATGTCTTAATTACACCGTATCTCCTAAGTGCTTTTGCTGCACCCCTGCTTTTCAGTCTTTCTGTTCTCCTTCTGTTTTTTAGCTACACAGAAAAATATCAGTTTCTACCAAATGTAATGCTCAGAAGATATTACTGAAGTCACCCTTGACTGCTTTTTGCCATGTTGTGACCCTGGATAATTGGATTAGCAGCCTTGCTGCCTATCTGGAAATCTACATAATTTTAAATACTTACACAGTTGGCATTCACATTCCATTTTTTAAAATGGAAACAGGCTCCACGTAATAATGCCATTTCTTGTGGTTATACATTAGATACACTCACTTCAGAAGGAGCTTATTTTGTCTATATTAAGTGGTCAAGTGTCTTAATAACTATGTTTGTGTGGGAACAAAGTACATTGTGAATCCACACAGCAATAGAAAACTGGTAACATTTGGGTGATGAATGTTGAGTCACAATGTTAGTGTCTAAAATTTATTGTGGCTTGTACAACTTTTTAAAATTGGTATAGTTGTATCAATGATTAATAGCAAAGTTCTTATGCACGTTTTCAGTATTGTAGGTTATCTCCTATATACTGTATTTAAATATATTTAAATAAGTGCAATTTCTCTTGAAGCATCAGACTTGGGTCTTTAAAATGCTTATGAAATGGTCTTCTGGAAGGGATAAAAATGCAGTCATACGTAGTAGATTTTTTAAAAACAGAAACATTTTTGCTGGTACATTTTATACCTTCATAAATAAGAGTTTAGTGTGTTTAGAATAAACACACTGATAACATTCAAGACACTTTTGCTGTTAACCAGAAAGTAGGCTTTACAAAATGTTCTAAAGATCCATATAGTCTGCTTAGAAGGTGATAAATGTTGTTCTGAAACGGTCTATGAAGCACTGCCATTCTGATCATAATTTTGTTTTCGTGGAAATAAATGTGTGGTATATTTTGCTGAATATTGTTTCAAAAAATACCTAGCACCAGTTTCCTAGGATCTGACCACCTCTGATCATTCTGGATCATAGACTATGGCCCAAAACATTAGTTTTTGTTTATTTATGAGATTCTAACTAAGCCATAACTTATTTATTGAACAGTCAACTGATATTCTACTTTACAAATTCTTAATTGTAATTTAATCAGTCAGTGGGTTTGAACAGTACTGCTTCTTTTATGCACAATACTTTTTGAATTAAAAAAGTGATTATTTCTAAGAATTAGTGGAATGCTCCAAAAATAATGTTTGCGTTTAAGGGACCAGGAAAAGGTGTATCCATCTGCCAGTACAAAGGTTCTTGCTTTCCACCAGAATGGAAAAATTATAAACAGTCTAGAAGGGGTTGTGTTGATTTTTTAAAAGGAAAATCCCCTTTTCTATCTTAGAGCACTTTACAGGCAGACTAACCTAAAACTTGTTTGGCTCATTCACAATATAGCTGTTGTAACTAACAGATCTGTTAGTGACTGCTGTGTGAGCTGCAGAGTTCTATACAAGTACACATCATGTAGACAATTTTCAGAAGATATCTGAAGCTTTAATATAAACCATAAGGCCTTGTTTGAAAATATTGTGAAGTGGAAATGTAACTTCTGCAATATTTTTTCCTAATAAAATACAACAAATAAAACGGCCTGTTCTTACTATATTCTCTGCTTCGTTATTACTAAGAAAAGGAACTATAGACTTTTCCCCTGCCTGACAAAAATGGAATTACCAATAAGCATGGGTAAATCAAAACTTGATTTAGAAGCATTCACAACACTGTCTTTTACTAAACCTGCTCCATGAAGGTAAGACACTACAGTACTACATTTTATCAGTCCTGAAGATACATGTCACATCTCTAGAGTTCATTTGAGCTCATTCCATTCAGTTGTGATTTTGACTGCAAAACTAAATCTGATTTTGTCGCTAGGTATGCTGCCAAGCTGCACTAAAGCTGAGAAGCAGAAGTGATCTTTGATGAATTTGATTGTCTAAAGTCTCATAATTTTGGGGGGAACAAGAAATTCAAACAGAATTGTTTCTTGTATCATTCTAAAAATAGTTTAAAATTCCTTATTCGTCTTTAAAGAAAAAGACTCCACTGACATCTGTTCCACTGTAAAATGGGTTGCACTGTTGGAAGGATCTTTTTAATATTTAGTCTAAATTCTCTTTGTAAGTTGAAATTATTGGTTTGTGTCTGGGATAAACATGGCCATCTGCCATCAACCTCTCCTCGTAGAGCATGGTATCCAGGCTCCTCACTGTGCTGCTCCCTTTTGGGCGTGTTCTTTTTTTAAAGGCACATTGCTTTGGTGATCTGACAGAGACAATATTAAGCACTGCTCTTATCGCTGTTTATATTTTCCCCAAGGATGTGCTATTTTCTCATCCCATGAAATTATTTTGAATTTTATTTTTGTCTAAGGTATTAGTTCCCTTTTTTCAGTTTAATATCATTTGTACCTTTTATGAGTACTCCCTTTATTCTGTTATACATGTAATTGTAAACACATTCTAATGCCAGGGTGGAATGCCATGTTACTTCTCTCCAGCTTAAAGAAAACAGTTGAAAATTTAGATACAGTGCATTACTCAACTACAAATCCATTTAACAGTAGGATAGTCTAGACTCTAGCCCACATTTCCCCAGCTTCTTAAGAAGAATATTGGATCTTGTCAAAATTAGACAAGTTTGTAAATAGATGAAACTAAAGTCACAATGTTTCTTAAATTGGAAACTGTTTAAAAAGAGATACCTTCAAAATGAGCATCCTGCCAAAAATCTTATTTTTATTTCAGTCAATTCCTATTATACTAAAACAGTCCTTTTTAAAAGAATTTAATAGGATAATCATGAGATTTATATGGCAAGGAAAAAAACCAAGAATTAAAATTAAGACAATGCAAGATGATAAGCAGAGGGGCGGCTTTGGTCTTCCAGATTGGGTTCTGTATTATAGATCTTGTATTTTATATTGAATAAAAGAATGGATAACTCTAGAAAACGATAGATTACTTAGCTTGGAAGGACATGATTTGCAACTAGGCTGGCATGCTTATTTATGGTATAAAAAGGATAAAGAACAAAAGAATTTCAATTCACATATGATAAGAAGAGCTTTACTGGGAATGTGGAGAAAAATTGCACAACAAATTTATTATAAAATACCTGTATGGGTGTCACCGATAGAGGCCTTTACTCAACCCAGTTTTATGACAAAAGCAAACTCTTTAAGATATCAAGATCTACTAAAAAAGGATGGTGAACTAAAATCTAAAGAAGAGCTAGAGTCACAGAACATATATATTGATTGGTGGCCTAGAGCACAGTTAGAATCTAGATATATAAAAGATAAAATAGAAGGCTTCTACTCAGAGCAAACAATTTTTGATAAACTATTTGGTTCAAAAGAACAAATTATTAAGAAAATGTATAATTCTATTGGAAATTAAGATGCAAGATGAAATGGTTAAGGAATGTATGACTAAGTGGGCACAAAATATAGGGCATAATATTGCTATTGATCAATGGCTGAAAATATGGCAAAATAACATAAAGCTTACAAGATCGGTGAACTTTAAAGAGAATATATATAATATGTTTTATAGGTGGCACATGACCCCAGAAAAATTGTCAAAGATGTACACAGATGTATCAAATAAGTGTTGGAAATGTGAAACACAAGTGGGAAGCTATTATATGTGGTGGTCATGTGGAGTAGCGAAACAATATTGGAAAAGAGTGCATGCTATGTTTTAACAAATATTGCTTTGTAAGGTGCCATTAACCCCAGAATTGTTTTTATTGAGTATGATACCTGAAAATATAGATAAGTCAAAGGATTATATAGTTATATACATAGTTACGGCAGCCAGAATTCTATATGCTAAAAATTGGAAAAGACCAACAGTACCGAAACAAGATCTTATTGAAAAGATACGGGAAATAGCTGAAATGGACATTTTATCAGAAGTCATGAAGGACTATCCCTTGCAAAAGGCAACAGAAAGATGGGATCTATTTAACAAGTGGACTGAATCAACAGGCAGCTTGTGAATAGCATATATTGAAATGAGAACTCAATCTAGAAGGCAGAAAAGAGTAAATAGAATAACTTAATATCTTGATATGGCAATAGGTACAGAATGGATGGAAGTATGTTATTGTCTCCCCTCTTCCTCATCAATTCCAATTCCCTTTTCCTTTCTGTCATCCCTTATATTAAAAAAATAAAAAATTATATAAAAAAGAGAGAGATACCTTCAGTTTGGACATTTCAGGAAATGTAGCTTGATTCCGTTTTCTTTCATTATTCTGAAACATGATTTATTGTGCAATTATGTGTGTATATATTTGAAAGTTCCATAAAGGTAATTGGCTAACTCCAGGTACAGGAGTGTAGAACAGGATTTAATGTTAGCTGAATAAGCCTTCAGTTTATGCTCTCTCTTCTCCTTTATTGTGTGCCCAAGAAGAATAATAGCTTTCATTGTAGAAATAACCAGAAATCCTTGTGAAGATTAAATTTGGGAGGAATAATTTATTCTATCTATGATTAGCAAAAACAAATCAAGATGGTATGGTATGATATTGTTAGTTAATTGCAATTAGAAAAAAACAAAATCTTGGCATTTTAGGAAATTTGGGGATCCAGAATGAATAGTTTCTATTGGTACTGTGTAATAAACACACATCCCCCAATTTAGCTTCAGAGCCTGATTCAGCTACAGTGGTGCCTCACTTTATGATTGCCCCGCATTATGACAAATCCGCTTAACGACGATCTTTTTGCGATCGTAATTGCAATTGTAAAACGATGGTCTAAATGGGAGAATTTCACTTTGCGATGATCGGTTCCCTGCTTCGGGAACCGATTCTTCACAAAATGATGTTTTTCTAACAGCTGGTCTGCGGTTTCAAAACGGCCACTGGGTAATTAAAATGATTCCCTGCTGTGTTTAGGGATGGATTCCTCGCTATACAGGCAGCGAAAATGGCCGCCGTATGGAGGATCTTCGCTGGACCATGAGTTTTTACCCCATTGGAACACATTGAACGGGTTTCAATGTGTTTCGATTGGTTTTTTAATTTCGCTTTACGGTGTTTTCACTTAATGGCGATTTTCCTGGAATGGATTATCATCGTCAAGTGAGGCACCACTGTATTTGGATTATGTCAGTTTGGACAAGATTAAAGCCAGTTTGATGTGGTCAGTTCGGATAAAATTCAACCCAGATCTAAAATCTCAACTGACTTGCATTGAGAAATAGAAACTGAATTTTAGGACACCTGTATTAAATTAAGAAACAGGATAACAACCTCAGAGGGGATTAACCCTGGATGATTGCAGACAGGAGACTTTATACTAATCACCTTTAAAAATTGCTTTCATATGTTCACATCTTGCTGTTCTGCTTTTCTGCACAGTGGTAGTATGCATGAGAAAGACATTTTGCTTTTGCGTATACTGCCCTTACAGAAATCTATGTTATTACACTTGGAATACTCTGTGTACTTGTGATTGTTCAAATACAATATTGTAGAACTGGGGGGGGGAATGAAAAATGGCAAACAATATGATCAGTGGGCTTGAACTGCTATTTATGGCTTCTTTAACTGAGAATGCGACTACATGGTAAAATGTATTTTTTACTGATTGCATAACAAAGGCTGAATCAAATTCCCCTTTTTGCTCGCAAAATGTCTTTTCCCCTCTTCCACTGGAGGGCTTCTACTTTTTCAAGTTGGAATGAATTGAACAGACGTTTCCCCATATGGTAGTTCTGATATGTTCTGAAGATGAGGGCATGTCTGTAGATTTTGAGTGACATAGGCAGTTGGGGCATGATGTTCAGCATAGGGGCAGACATGCAAAAGCACACCACTGTCATTATAATTCACTGTAAGACTACCGCATTTTTGAAAAATATTTCTGTAGGAAGACCAAGCAAGCAAGTATGCATGCATGCATGGACATACAAAGTGGTACTTTGACAAAGCACCTTTCCTTCACCTCTTGTTTTTTAAGGGAAGACAAGAAGCTTGAGTGTGCATGCATGCACACACATACAGCACCAGCACTCAGCTCTCTCCACAAAGCCTCTCCTCCTTCAAGCCACTTGCTCTTTTTTTAAACTACTCTCTCCAACCCCCCAATCCAGTGGGCAGTCTTTGTTTATAACTTCAGGAACTCTTCCACCACCAGCAAGATAAGATATGGAAATGAGTGACTGGCAGGAAGGAAAGCTGTTATAAGACAGTTCCTTTGAATTGTGCTGCTTACAGTCACTTTGAATGGAACTGCAAGTAGATGGCTTTTTTTCTTTCCTCTACCTCTGTGGCCACCTATACTGTTACAGTCACTTTGAATGGAACTGCAAGTACAGTAGATGGCTTTTTTTCTCTCTACCTCTGTGGCCACCTATATACAGAATACTCCAGTCTGACTTCACAATGAAAGACTGTGAGTTAATTTGCATTTCTCTTGCTGTGTATTCATATCCTTAGACAAAAGGAAAATATAGACATGCTAGATGTATACATAATCTTGCAGCCACGAAGAGATTTTTCTCTTTTTTCATAAACCTACATATGAAGTCTTCCATGGAAGGTAAATGTAGGAGATTTATGTCCAGTAACGGGAATCCTTTC